AAAAATGACACGATAACGGTATTAATACCAATCTCGGTATTCAGAAAACGCTCGATATTTTGCAAACACTATTCAAAGTCACTAAATAAGCTGATGGATGCCCTCTGCTCAGATATATACCGTTGATCTACATACCGTTCTGCTCTCAACACGCCATGTGCTTCCACTTGCTAATGGTTCGTTTCAACAACTCAACTCACTAAACATTCACCTTGTATGCATAAAATTATCGCGTTCGGATTCTCCATATAGGTCTTACAGATTTTCACAATATCATCCTTGGTATCCTTGGCCATATCAACCGTTACTGTGGAGATAATACCGGGCAGATCAATCAGTACCATACGCGGCAGGGATGGACCTTAAAATCATTATCTTTATTTTTTAAATGGTACCGTTTAATTTTTATTTTGATTTCTTTGAACGTTTAATTTTTATTTTTATTTCTTTGGAATATTTTTTTAAAATTTTTATTTTGATTTTTTTATTTCGTTTAATTTTTATTTTGATTTCTTTGGTATTTATTGTTATAAGACTTTGTTTAATTTTCTGAGGTTTAAATGGAATAATATTTTTTTATTTTATGTGTTTTAGTGTTATTTCTAGTGTTCTAGAAATGATTGTTATAGTCGGCAATATCAAATTTTATGGTTTGAAGCAGTGCCTCCGAAGAGCCTTAAAGCGCCCTAAACCAACTGGATCACCTTGCTAGACCACTGGATTATCAATGGGCTGAAAAGGCTCAATAAACTGATTGCGATTGATTTATTCCTGGAGTTACGATTAAAAAATTCATCCCAAATTTTCGTGTCCCACCATGCAGTTGAACTGCTTGCTTGACCCAATCCATTGCCAGACTCAAACCATTTCCCTTGATTAACCCGAAAACAGCTTCCCTTTACCGCCCTTATCACCAAATCAATGTAATCCTTTTATGAATACCACCGATTCCTTGCCCTGATATCGCTACCCATGCAGAACTATCGTATTCATGATAACAGGGAGGCATAAATGAGCTATTTGTAACTACTCAATGAATAAATAACTGATTTGATTGATTTCATTTGATTGATTTAATTGATGATTTGATTGATCATTTGATCGATTTGATTATCGGATCGGCGATTGATCAGAAACAAAACAACAGCGAAACCGACGAACCTTTCACAGTGAGTGCAATCACCTCATTTGAAACGGTCTTGCCATCAGCCACCGAATTGCGCATTCTCACTTCAATTTCGTTTCTCAACTGCTTCAGTTCACTCTCTTTGCCCAGATCAAACTCGCGACTGCTATCTTTGAATTGTGCCACATGATAGGGTCCCTCACTGAGCGTTACCTCAAGTAATACATTTCCGATAACTATAATTAACAACAACTCTTCAGGTGTACTCTCAAAGCCCAATAATTATCAACTAATTATTATTATGAACCTTAACCGGTGCTCT